TTTTTTTTTGCTTCCGTGACGCACAACAAAAACAACGTTATACAAAAATATGGACTGTGGACTAATAATGTATATCAAGTTAATATTTAATAGCACCAACTATTCCATCTAACCAAGTTATTAATTCAGATATCACATCACTCAGAATTTCCATTATACCAATCATTATATGACAAGACTTCACAAAAGTGACTAACTTATAACTGATTGATTTTTTTTATAGTAAAAGACTGTTAATTTTCTTTATATTTTTAGTTAAGATTTTAATTTTATTAATCAATTGGTACATGCAACCCGAGACGGTGTGCATAAACTGACAACACCAGTACTGAAACTAAAAGTGCAAAAAAATGAGTGTGACAGTAATAAAAATATAACGATGGTACTTGTGGGTATACACTAAGAGATAGTATAAGAAATGAGCACATCTGTAGTATATTAAATGTTACTCTTATTGGGAATAAAATGAGAGAGAATCTACTGAGGTGGTTTGGTCATGTACAACGGAGACTTCTAATGCATTAGTTAGAAAAAAAATGAAGGTATTATAGTTAACGGGATAGAGAAATCTAGAGGTAGAGCTAAAAGAACTTGGTTGTGAACAATTAAAAAGGATATGCTAATAATTAATTTAATAGAGGAGATGACCCAGGATAGAACAGAATGGAAGAATAAGATTTATGTAGCCGACCCCAAGCATTTGGAAAAAAGGCTTTGTTGTTGTAGTATTGATACCAAAAAGAGGCAAACCAAAACTACAAAACATTTTTTTTAGTTAAATATCTTGCAAAACACTAGAGAACTTTAAATATTGTAAACACGTGATGGGGGGACCACATAAGTGAACGAGAAATCAGCCGCTCATTTCCGCGTGAAGAGAAGTGGTGGGCCAGACCCACGTGAACACAATTTCAGCCTTTTTTGTTTCTGCAAGCTATAAATACCGAAGCTAGGGTATTTTTCGGTGTGTGCAATTGAGGTAGGAGGTTTCTTGTTTGCGGCTAGGGCGTGAAAAAGAGGTGCGGCTGATTCTTCTTTTTGGCGGCTGCAGAGAAAGAGGGTGAAAAGAAAACTTTTGGGCGGTGTGCAAGCAAAGCAGAGAGAGAAAAGCAGATTGCTTTTTTGCTGTTTTGAAGAAGAGTTCTGTGCAGCGTCTTTTAGGTTTTAGTATCCCTTTTGTGAGAGATTGAGAGATTGTTTGAGGGTTTTAATTTGAGAGATTGTAAACCCTATTTGTATTCTCTTTTCCTCTATTAGTAGATCCCCCTCCTTGCCCCGTGGACGTAGGCAGTTTGCTGAACCACGTAAAATTGATTGTTTGAGTTTGTGGCCATTGTAATAGTTTTTAGGATCCCTCGACGCGCAGTCCTAGAGCTGACGAGAGGAAGAGCTAATATCCCACTTTGATGGGATATTAGGCTTTCAGATTCTTATTCCCTTTGAGAAACAAGAATTCTTATCGATCTTTCTCTCTTATTGTGCACCAGAAACTCTGCCGAAATTTCCGCTGCGTACAACAAGTGGTATCAGAGCTCGGGCTACGCTTGGGATATTTGGAGGAGTAGATCAATTTGAAGGCTTGTCTAGGGCTTCGTTTGGTGATAAAGGTGGGATCTTTTGGTAAAGAATCTATCCTTTCAGTTTTGGATCTATTCTTCGTTCGTTGGTGCGTAAGATGTCGGGGAAAGGTGCTTCGGGTGTCGAGGGTGGTGCTTCTGGTGCGAAGAACATTCAGAGTTTGAATATCCACTCTATGAAGATAGATGTGGAGAAGTTTAATGGCACAAATAATTTTGGATTATGGAGATACAAGGTTTTGGATGCGTTGAACGCGCAGAATTTGGAGGATACTTTGGAGTTAGATGGCAAGCCAGATGAGATTGAAGAAAAGGTTTGGAAGAAGATGAATCGAACGGCGTGTGGTGTGATTAGGTCTTGTTTGACTCAAGATCTAAAATATGATGTGATGAATGAGACTTCTGCGAAGAAGATTTGGGAGATTCTCGAAAGCAAGTATTTGACCAAGAGTGTGGAAAATCGCTTGCATTTGAAGAGGAGGCTTTATCGTTTCCAATTAAAGAAGGGAACCTCCATTAGAGATCACATGAACCACTACACGAAGCTTCTTGCGGATTTGGCGAATGTGGATGTCATAATTGAGGATGAGGACAAGGCGTTGCTGTTGTTGAGTTTCTTGCCCGGCGAGGAATATGATACCTTCGTTCTTACTCTGATTAATGGGAAGGCATCACTTTCGTATAGTGAGGTCACCGCTGCACTTGTGAATTATCAGCTTCGAAAGAAGGATAAGGAGGCTTCGGTTGAGCCGGTAGCGGAATCCGAACCGGAAGAATTGGAAGTCACAGTCTAGAGTAGGGCATCCTACAATTGGAAAAGATCAGTGTGCTTGGTGCAAGGAGACTGGTCATTGGAAGAAAGACTGCCCAAAGCTCGACGAATGGATGAAGAATAAGCAGAAGGGAAAAGGGAAGCAACCATCATCAGAAGCAAACATCGTATCGGATGGTAATAATTCTGACTCTTCTATTTATTCGCTTTCTATCAGTCCTACAGATAGCTATTCGGAGGAATCTGAATGGATGTTGGATAGTGGTGCGACCTATCATGTGTGCCCTAGAAGGGAATGGTTCTCCAGTTTTGAGAAGCTGGTGGATAGTGGTGTGGTGTACATGGCTGATAACCGTGCATGCCAGATCCTTGGGATTGGAAGAATTCGCATAAAAATGTTTGACGGGACTGTTAGGGAGTTAAATGATGTGAGATATGTTCCTTCTTTGAGGAAGAACTTGATCTCGATTGGAGCTTTGGTTGGAGAGGGTCTGAAGGTTCGTGTTGAGGACATGGTTCTCTAGATTGCGAGAGACTCTCGTATTTTGATGAAGGGCGTCAGGATAAATAACCTGTATTACTTGACTGGAGGTATAGTGGCAGGTGGAGAGCTGACGACTTCTGTTGATTCGACTAGACTGCGGCAGTTGGGGCTTGACCATTTCAGTATTGATTCCTCGCATAGATTGAAAGAGGGTGCAAAGACCTGTAGTTTGAAGTCCAGTGAACTTGTTGATGTGAGCAAGAAGACCGAGGTGAAGTGTGGCACCTTTATTCACCGTGCTAAGGGTCGTTCTGGAGGAGTTCACGTGGATATTTGGGGGCCTTCCAAGGGGGCATCATTGGGAGGTAATAGGCGTTTGGTTTCCTTTGTTGGTGGCTGTTCTAGGCGGTTTGGGTTGCAACCAAATCCCCGATGGATAAAGTCCTAGTAGTCTCTAACAGATTGAAGAAGTGTGTAATAGACAGAAAGGTGAAGGTACTCCATTCTGGTGGGAGGTACAAGATGGACGTGTTTCTGTATTGGAGCCGAGCTCACGGCATTTCGAGGCACTTCGTTGGAAAGGAAATATTGGGGCAGCTAGATAGGGTGACAAATTTGGAGAACCGTACCTTTCTGGAGGAGGATCAGTGTTTGTGGTCGAGCAATGGTTTGCAGAAGAGTTTCTGGACAGAGGCTTCGACATATTTGGGTCATCCTATTAAAGAGTTGTCAACTGCTGTGATTGGAGGTAAAACTCCATTAGAAGATAGGTCTGGTAGTGTCACTTTGGTTGAGGCTTCGATGAGGGAGCTAATTGACTCTCAGCAGGTGGAGAGTTTTGGACAGACCTTAGAGGTATCGCAGCAGGTGGAGATTAATGCTACTCCACATTGGGTGAAGATTACTCCAGATCATACTGCGTTGTTTAGGATTCCAGCTGAGATGACACAGCGTGGAAGTCATTTGGATTCGGATACAGATGATGAGTTGGGTTTTGACTTGAGTGCAGCTGATAGATGCAGTTTGGATATGACCATTAGTTCATCTCAGGTGGAGGTGTTTGAGGCCATTGGAGGTGCTATCAGTCGCAGAGTTGATGATATTGGAGAAAGGTTGCGAACTCTTCTATTGGATTGAGGTCTTTGGAGGCCATTTGAATGAACTACGTTCGGCTTGATTCCTTGGGCAAGAGGATACGTAGGCAGTCTTTATGATGCAGCCGGGTTTGAATTTTGATGGGGGGTGAGATCGATTTGGTGAGTTGATACTGACAATTGGAGAGTGTTTGCATTCTCATTTGGGTTCTCGACTTGTTATGGATTGAGTCTGTTGTCGTGAATTATTCCACGGTGTACTGGACACAACAAGTGAGACATTTGGTTTGGTTGGTGTCGGCTCAGTTTTGGAAAAACTTCGCCGAGGTGGAGAATTGTATACACGTGATGGGGGGGCCACCACATAAGTGAACGAGAAATCAGCCGCTCATTTCCGCGTGAAGAGAAGTGGTGGGCCAGACCCACGTGAACACAATTTCAGCCTTTTTTGTTTCCACAAGCTATAAATACCGAAGCTAGGGTATTTTTCGGTGTGTGCAATTGAGGTAGGAGGTTTTTTGTTTGCGGCTAGGGCGTGAAAAAGAGGTGCGGGTGATTCTTCTTTTTGGCGGCTGCAGAGAAAGAGGGTGAAAAGAAAACTTTTGGGCGGCGTGCAAGCAAAGCAGAGAGAGAAAAGCAGATTGCTTTTTTGCTGTTTTGAAGAAGAGTTCTGTGCAGCGTCTTTTAGGTTTTAGTATCCCTTTTGTGAGAGATTGAGAGATTGTTTGAGGGTTTAAATTTGAGAGATTGTAAACCCTATTTGTATTCTCTTT